ATGCATGTCCGTTTTGTGACTGTTAAGCTCAGTTATTCATCAGATCATTCTTTAGGGCATCGTTTATCTTCGAAACATCCTTTGAACACTGAACAATAGCTCACACTCCCACAGCCACACCTGGGAAATAAGTACAGCAGTTCCTAAAGGGGATCACCACTGGGAGCAGTCTGATATTTGATATATTTGAGTCTTTAACTACAGACAACTGGGAGCATTTTCTGAACTCAGTTTATCAAAAAAGAAGAAGAAAAAAAAGGCATAGGTGTCATTTGTTTTTTTAAACCTGCCAGAAACAAGACACCTTTTAAACAAACACCATTGTGCCACCAGTTACCTGGAAGGTCCCCTCCAGTGTGGCCAAGTCTTCTTGCAGAGCATTTTGTAGCGCTCGAGGCAGGGTTCGTAGGCCTGACGGAAGGCRTAGCCTGCTCTCCTCACGCGGACATTCTCCATCAGACCCAGGTAGCGCACCTGATGGCGGACCAGAGACTCGGTGAAAATGTGGGATGCCTTCTTGTCATTGGGCTTGATGCATCTGGGGTAAAAAAACAAAAACAAAAACAAAATAAATGTAGAGCTTATGAGTTTTGTTGTATGTGTTACATGAATGTAACTGAAATAAAGTAAATTTAAGCTCAATCTGGTTCAGACTGTAWGAATATTTAAACTACATAACAGGAAACCTAAATACCGGATGTAGTTGGGGTTTTTTGTCTGCAGGTTGCTCATCAGTGTCCCAACAGATGCTTTGAACTGGAATCCAGCAGTCGGTGGTCGTTTCAGGTTGACTTTGGTAGGATTGCCCTCAGGGAAGAGCTGTTTCATGAGGCTGTGGTTGGCCTTGTACATGGCCTGGGACAGGTCTCGGTACAGCAGATCATTGTTCTTGTCGACAAATCCTTCAACTTTGTACAGCACCTTAATACAAAAGCAGACAAAATATTTTTATTTTTCATAAAAACAAACTGCACCATTCTGATACTTTAAAGGGATCCTTGATTAGTTGTAACATTAGACTTTATTTGATAAACATATTTTAACTGTAAAATAAAGACTAAAAATACTGTAGGCTGTTCAGTTTTGTATAATTTTAAAAATATATTTTAACACGGAGGGAGACATTTTATTTACACACAAAGTATTCTGGGTAAATGATAACATGGATAGGTCCTCGGTGTGAGCGAGCTATATTCACCCTGAAAGTTAATCTTGGACAATATCTGACGATTGACTCTTAGATGAAACCAGAGAGCGTTGACAGAGAGGAGAAGGTAGAAATGACTCAGCCTGTAACTGAAAATATGGATGGAGGACAACAGAGCTGCTTCATGGAAGAACCTCAGCTTAAGGGCTCGACACACGGGAGGCGACGTCGCTCGCTTTCCATTCTTTTCCTATGGAGCCTGTGCGGTGAAGCAACAATCGCTTGCCCTCCTCCAGCTAAGTGACCGGCGAAAATAGTGCATGTGAAATTTTGCGCTCGTACACGTAGACGTGCACACACGAGCTTGCGACGCGACATGTGAAAGTTGAAAAATGTTCAACTTTTGTCGCTGTCGCTTAGCATACAACCAATCAGCGAGGGTTTCATTGACTGACCAATGAGAGGAGAGTATGCTACACACTGCCGTTAGCTAACACTTTCACCAAGTGATTACTAAAAATCTGTGGGAATTTATTGGCACCAGGGTGAAGTTTATGGTAAGTTTTTCCTCATAAAACTGTATCTTGATGTGTGTTTGTTTTTCAATATCATTAGCATCGCAAGATTTGTTTAGTTTACACGTCCATAATGAACACCCGCCTTCAGAGTCAAGAACCAATCAAATTTTGTGAAGACAAGCGACCTGAGAGCGCGATTCGCAAGGCTACGATCGCTATCGCGTCCTGTGTGTCGGGTTTCACCCTGGCTGCGATGACAGTCGTTAATTGCTGTAGATTGTCGCTGCCCGTGTGTCGAGCCCTTTAGCCTGTTAACCTTTGCGCTAGCGCCAACATTGCCTTTTATGTATTAGCTCAGCACTAGTGCGACAAACAAGCTAAACTGAGGTCCTTCATCCATATTTTCAGTTGCAGACTGAGTCATTTTTGCRTTCCCCTCTCYGTCATGTGAATGGAGGACCTCAGTGACGAGAGGAGAATGTGTAGCATAGAGCTAATATACATGGTGATAGCGTTGGGGCTAATGCTAAAGCTAACAGGCTAAGCTGAGGTTCTTCTTCCATGAAGYAGCTCTGTTGTCCTCCATCCATATTTTCAGTTCCAGGCTGAGTCATTTCTACCTTCTCCTCTCTGTCAACGCTCTCTGGTTTCATTTAAAAGAGTCGATCATCAGATATTGTCCAAGATTAACCTTCAGGGTGGATATAGCTCGCTAGCAGCCTCGCACCGATGACCTACCCACATCATCATATATTTTTAAACTTAGTTTAAAAATGATAAAAACTGAACATCCTACAGTATTTTTACAGTCTTTATTTTACAGTTAAAATATATGTTTATCAAATAAAATCTAATGTTACTGATCGTGGATCCCTTTTAAGAAAACCCCTCCAGGTTCAATATAAATGCACGCATATTTAAACAGGAATAAGCATTCATCTCTGCCGTTTTCTTCTCTTCAAACATTTTATATCTTTAATCAGTACCTTGCCAGCGTAGTGCTGGATGCGGAAACAGTTGTGTGGCAGGCTATGGTCAGTGAGAAACTTTGAGTTCTTGCTACGGCGACTTTCAAAGTGTTGGTGCTCAGCGCAGATCGTGTTCAGTTTGTCCAGGAAGGTCTCATCGGTGACGGTTCCCGGCCTCAGGCACTCCTCATCCAACATGGCCAAAATACCATTTTGGTTCTGGTAAAGCATGAGCACAAAGTGGCATGATAAACAAATTACAGTATCTTTATAAACCAACTAGTTTTTAAACCTGTGAAACATTTTTAAATGTTATAAAGAACATTTACTTTTAGAATCAAACATTTTCACCTTTATTCGAGGATCATTGCTGAGTACATTACCAGAATAATAAAGTGCATTCATACTGAGGGGGCCTGTGTGACCTCAGAGGGCTGTGTAGCTGACTTACATTCTCAATGAGGTCGCAGATAATGGCATTGTTGAAATACTCGATGTTGGTCCACTCAATGCCCTGTAACAAAACACAAGGGTCAAAAGGTACTATGGATTTTTATACTTCAGCACCAAAATATTACTTAAGTTGTGCTTAGGATCTTGACCTAAAGAAAAGAGTCTCCACATAGATCCAAACCTGCACAGTAGCTTCTCACAAAGATCTCTGAAGCTTCAAGAAAAAACTCATTAGCATGTTTAAGTACATTAAACAGTTTACATGAACTGATTGATCATTCTGTTAAAAATATTTACTCTTGCGTGTTCTTCAGACACACAAACAAACAGATTAGGAACTATGATGTGTGTGTTTCACCATTTCTTTTTCCACCTTAATTTTTGTAATGAAAGTTTTAAATTCACTGAATATAATAGTCATTACATAAGCAAAGACCAAAAGTTTCACAAAGCCCTTTCACAAATTGTAACAAAACACACAGACACGCTTAAATACACCCATACATACAAACACACACACTTAAACCACACAGTGTTCTGCGGTGAAGAGATTAGTGGAAACATGAATCCCCTTCCCACAGCTGTGTTTTTAAAGCCCAAAAACAAAGGCTTGGGAAAATGAGAGGCTGTAATTGTCAATATTTAAATGTGTCGCACACAAAACTAAAAGTTCAGAATTAAGAAAATAAAATAAAAAAACTACTGAAGTCTGAAATCACTGTCTGAACCCATTCTGTAGCATTAAAGCTTAATGGGAACTTTCTTTTTTTTCTTAACTTCAGTGAATTTAATAAACAGTAAAGGTCAGTTATTGTTAGCTGATCGGTCTTTAAAGTCTCAGTTGTCCTTGCCGTCATGATGTTTCTGTACTACAGGTCTCCCTCTGCATTTTATTCTTTAAATACAAAACAAACCTGACAAAAGAACACATCCTAACTTTGCCCTTTATAAAAAGTCCAGTGACACCCCAAAACATCTTTACTGGCTTCAGCTTACAAACTACTAATGGGTTGGGAAGATACACTGATGTACTGGTAAGTGGATTTTATTTTATTCATATTATTTATTTATTTATTTATTTATAGGGGGAATGCAAAGAAGGCAAGGCTTAAACCGATGGGTGACTGGTCACATTCCTGATTGGTAGTCCTCCCCTCCGCTTTCTTCAGCACTGTGGTATTTTCCCATGCAATACACTGGACAGAAGCCAGYGGTGAAATATTATTGGTGGTGGCGTTACTAAGGAGGGGGTTGTGGGGGTCACCTCTGCTGCACTCATACTTGGAACTTTAAAAACAAACAGAGCCTAAAGGCCCACAATGGGGAGTGTTTACTCTCAGAGTGAGGGATCATTTCCGTCCCTGTGAATGTGCAGAAGGGGAAATGCTGGTGGGTAGGGAAATGGGATACAAAACAAGRAGAAGCAGACATGGGTTTTTCTTCAAGAACAATAATACAGATTTAGGTGTGATAGAGGGGTTAAAAACTAATGAGTGACATGTCCATGTTGAGGCAGTGCTGCAGGGGTCTGCCACAATGGACTCGTAACACAACAGGCCAAGTCCTGACATGGATACATTTTGACTTCAGTGATTCTTTATACATCTTTTAACTTGTGCATTTAAACAGCTTGCCTTATGTAATCAAATGTGTGAATTCACACACTTACCTCTCTAATGTACTCCTCCTGCTCCTCACGCAGAGTCAGCTCTATGAAGATCTGCTGCAGCTTCTCATTACAATAGTTGATGATGAACTGCTCAAAGCTGTTGTCCTACAGGGCAGAAACAGGAGGCAAGAAAAACAAGCTACAGTTACTGTCATGTTATTAAAAGTGCGGTGGTGGCATCTTTCCTTGATTAAAAGGGCTATCTTACAAGTTTAAGAAAAAAATGTTTAAACTTAGTGTCTATTTGTAATATATTTTTAAAAAATCTGGGATTTTTGTTCCATTGATTATTATTAGGAAAACAAATGCCTTCAACAGTGTTAGGATACTGATGGATCACACCACATTTTATTAAAAATTAAGTAAATCTCAGAATTATTTTTTCATCACCACTGGTCAAAGAAACTCTCAGACCTATAAGCGCCAATCCGACAGTTTCAACACGTCATTTACAAAAAATACCTGAACACAGACTATTAAATTATGGCTGTCATAGCAGGATTTAAATCTTAAAAAGGGTCCTACTGAAATATTAATTGGTCTGAGCAAACTAAAAGCTACCAGCGTCTCGCTATGAAAATCACCCCTGAACAAATATTTCATCTGCCAAGTCATTTCTTCAGATATAAACCCCTGGAGCAAATTCCTGCATTATGACTTCTTTAACCAGTGGATGTGCTCATTAACTATTCAACAGCATTTACCCATGATACACCCAATTATAACGGTGGTCTTTTATGACCATGGTGAGTCATGCTTCTCTGTAAAAAAATGTTTTATTGCACACTGGTTAATATTAATTTGCTAAAAACAAAAGTGTTAGTTAAGCAGGTTTTGTACTAAGAGCTCTGGTTAAAACAAGATTTCTTAGTACACAGAAAATGGGATAAATTGCTACATGTAGTTAGCTTTGAATTGTGAAAAGCTAATTTCCTTCAAACGAGAAACCAAAAGGTCTGCTTCACACCTAAATCACAGGAGTGGTTGCAAATACCAAGCTGAAACCTGTAGAAAAACATAAGTAACTATCTTAAATTTGTTTTTGACTCGATAGCCTTTACTTTGTTAGGCATAAAAAAACATATGTTACAAATTAAACTCAAAAAAGGCTAAAATTTAAAAAGGTAGCTTAACACTTTAAATACTACCAAATMTTTACATTTTCCTCTATATCAGACAGGAATATATGTGGCGTTTGTTTCCTTTAGCTTTGCCTGTATTATCTCATTTAGGGCATGAATTCTATATTACATGCATGTTCTTTAATGTTAAAACATTATGAAATCCAAACCACACAAATCCTCAGTATGGTTTGGATAAAAAAAATAAAAATAAAATAAAAAGTGGAGCAGCAAAATAAAACGATTGGCATCAACCCTATTTGATTATGACTAAAATTCGAAAAAAAAAATACAAATTCTGACATTTCAATATATTGTCCCAATTTGGCATTTGTGAGAAACTATTAGGGGTTTGACATTTTAGTAAGTCTAAAACTAAACCCTGAAGTGTTTTCTCAGTTTTATGAAAGCAACAACTCCATTATTATGGAGGACTCTAAAGTTTAATTTAAACCCGAGAGGAATCTTCTGCAGAAAAATAAACCGTTGAAGCTTCTACTTCTAACGTTTTAAAAACTACAGACCACACATTCTAACATAGCATTAATACAGTTAGCTGCCAGTTCATTTATAAGACCTAGCTAAAATTATGCAGAAATACCAAAAATATATCCACATAATTTGGATAGAAATACTAAAAGAAGTAAACAAACTACAATTAACATATTGACAGGAATAATAATATATAAAAAGTTACACATTAAGAGCTATTCTTAAAAATTAGTCATTTTGGTAAATTATTTTTGAGAAAGATGTACTAAATAAACTGGCAACCGATTGTATGCTGCAATCCAGATGTTGCAGAGGCTCCCTTTGCATTTATTTAGCTGTGCAACAAACCAGGAGCAATTTTATGAATTATATATATAAAAAAAATCACAACATGCAAACAGGCACTGCAAAAAGACCGGTGCAGGTGTTACTTACGCCGTCCTGATGACCCAGGAACAACACAAAACACAGTGAGAAGAGGGGAAAGACTTGAGTGTGAGTGAAAACGAACAAGCAGGGATATGAAGACATGAACAAATGAGGGATGGGACACAAAACGTGTGTTTACATGCTCTTCAGTTCGTGCAAATCCTTACCTTTTAGGGCTGGAAAACATTGAACGTGTGACAATTTAACACCGTCTCTGTAACATGCACTTGAGAAAGCTGAACTAATCTGATCTCACTGCGGTCGTGTCAGCCTTCGTTTCTTGCAGATAAGCTCAGGTGCTAGGCAAGCAAACAGCCTGGGGCAACACTTTTTCTTATGTTTAGGCGGTTTTGATTCTGTCCTTGTGGCTCATCGGGAGATAAAGAAGCAGTTCTGAGCTGCAAAGTTTCTTACCTCAAATATTTCAAAGCCATAAATGTCCAGTACACCCATGACCTTGTGGCGCGTTTTAGCTTGTGCCTGCGAGAAATAAATACATAAATGAATAAATAAATATCACGAGTTGTTAATGCCAGTTTGCATAATAAAAGCATCTTATTAAAAGAGAAAAAAAATATATATATATATATATATTATATAAAGAAATATAATTACCAGCTATAATTACTTACTCTTATGCTCTCATTAATCCTGGTAATTAACCAACTGAACAGACGATTATAGAGATTTTTAGCAAGGGCATCACGGGCATAGTAGGCCTGTAAAAACAAGTTTACAGTAAATATTAAGAAATAAAGTGCAGTCATTTATTTAATTAATTAATTTATTTATTTAGGACAGAGCAGACCCATTTCAGTAACCTTCATGTCATGTGACCAGTTCGAACCACCTAACCTCTCAAATATGACCTACACTTGATTTTCCAGGAGGACCACTGCTCATTTATAATGTAAAGATTTTCATGTAGCACTGACATGAATTGAAGCTGGCAGCCAGCAGAGCGAGTCAATGGAATAAAATGACCCTTCATTTTTCTATGTGCTGTGAGGAAATGTGCGCGCTCGCCAACTTTAACACAAGTAGAACATATACAAGCAGCTCCAACTGGTTCGGGGCAGAGTTTAAAAACTTCGTGTCTGACCTGGGCCACATTCAATGTGGTGGAAACTTTCTCCATCTTGGCCTCAACTGTTCGGTAGCTGAAGGCTCTCTCCAGCACAGACTGTTCAGTGCCCAGGAGCTCACACATCTCCTTCAAATCTGCAGGGAAAAGGAAAGATTTGTCAAATGTTATTTCTGCCCGGGCTACAGTGAAGTGACAGCTGTAACGCAGCTGAATATAAACCCTGAGGACTGCAAATAAGTGAAACTAAAAAAGATAGATGGAAAAATCTRACTGAACATAAACCGGGGTAAATTTAAACTATTGTAGGCAACTGGACTGATTTAAGGAACTGAATAAAATGTTCAGTTGGATTAGAGTCGAGTGTTTTGCTTTACATTCATCACAGACTTGACAAAATGGCAGCAACCAGAAGCAAGCGATTGCTGTTGTCATGGAGGGAAATATGTAAAATAAATATTTGCCTAAAGAAAACAACTGTGGGATTGATTAAACACAGCTTGTGCAACTGAAATCATAAAGCAAATATTTAGTGAGTTAGACCACAAAAAAGTAAAACAATCCAAAAGGAGCAGTGGCTTTAGATCAGACCAACATGGGTCCAAAAAGTCTAATTCATAAAATGATTTTAAAACAAGAATTCAACMTGCATATTACCATTTTTTACAAAAAATGTGTCAAATTTACCGTTTTTGTCCTTGACGCGACTCTCGTCGATGCCGTTGCAGCGCGACTCTGGTTTGAACTCAATGTTGCCGAGCTTCAACACGGCTGCTACCAGCTCAAACACTGACTGCATTTCATCTTCCATAAAGCCCACGATTTGCATGGCATTCTGCGGAGGGGCAAACATGAAAAACACAGAAGTCACGACTTGACAGACACCGAATGTTTGCAAAGAAAACGTGGTCAGAGCTGTAGAGCAAAACTAGGCAATGAATGCAAAACTGTCAAATCCCGTCAGTGCTGTGTCTCGTTTACGAGTTTTAAAAAGGCTAGAGCTTCACTAAAACCACCCTTTTCATTCAGTATATTCAGTATATTCAGGTCAGCTGACCTCATTCTTTGAGCACAGACTGTTGCTGAACCTAGACCTGACCAAGTGCAGCAACCCCACATCTGAGCCTTTCTGCCCAGTAATATGAATGCTAAAATGTTTAAGGCAGCACAGCCTTTTTTTAAAATTGCTACAGACACAAAGTGGTACGGCTGATTGTTCGGAAAGAGAGACTGTCCCATCGAGTTTCCTGTGGTGAGAAGCAGCTGCGTGGGGGGACGCTTAAAGCTAATGAGAAGCAGGATGTGAAAAGCAGGGAAACAAGTACAGTAGAGTGTGACAGATCAGACTGCAAAGACTTACAGCAGCTGAGAAAAGCATGCTGGAACAAGATTCTAGCACTGCTGCACAATAGGTAGACAATATYCTCTGTGTCTCCATCAGTGACAATCAGAGAAAAGCAYGCATGATATTACATATGTGCACAGACATGCCTAAATACAAGGAGGCTGATAGGATTTTCAGATAAAACTATTGCTTAAGTGTTGGTCAATGCACAGGAAAGTCTCCATGTTTAATCCAACCTCGACTTACGTTTTGGTTAAAATTTAATTCAAGATTAAGTTAAAAGTTCACCTGGTTTTGCAATAAAAAAGGGTTAAGTGTTTTTATCATTGAAAATAATAAATCAAACTTATCTGGGAGATAAAAAATGACTACCTTTGGCCTTTGCACAAGATTCATAGTTAAGTGAGCATGATCCAGCCAAAAGAAAGATGCTGAAAGTCACCAGAGTGTGGCGCTGCTTGTGATTAGAGTGCACTACTGTTTAGTATTTTGAACCCATTTCAACTGTAACTTGGATTTTTAAATGTAGAGTTCACTTCCATGAGGTTACCAGAGGTAATGGAAATGTAGAGGTAGACAGCTGTGTGCTTGTCCGACTCACTCTGACAGTCCTGAAGTTGGCTGCGTCGTCCAAGCCACTGACCACAGCCGAGTCCAGACTCAGGTAGTTGTACTTGCTGAAGTCCCGGTCCAGCTTGAGCTTTTCTGGGAAAAACAAACCACGTTGTTGCTTTTTAATCTASATTTGCTTTAAGCGTGCTCAGTAAACACAATCGAATCCTTAATTCCATATGTTACACACCTGTGCACCCAGAGCCAGGAGGCACTGAAATATTCAGATGCACTCTATGGGTTCAAGATGTTCGCAAAAAATAAAAAAAATGTATGCACAATTGAGTTATAGCTATGAACACCGTTCTCAAAGCTCAAATTCCACACTTAAAAGCCCCCCTAAGAAGTAACAAAAGAAATCTATTCCTCTTACAGGCGCATGTGTCAGATTTCATTAGTGGCTGCATTAACTACAGCGGAACCCACCCCCCTCTGAAGCGTGCACTCTAGGGGTCGATGACCATTATATTGTTCAACCGTGTTCAGGACATAAAACAATGCATTCTGTGCAYGGAGAAATAAGTAGAGGGGGATGAGTTTGATTGCCTGGCTTTTGTCCTCTGTATTGTTTGTTAGGCAGGAAGATTAAGTCATAAAATGTGTAAGCCATGTGTTCCTGCAGCTGCAGACCTGCTGCAGGATGCGTTTACATAAGAAACGGCACAATAGTTACTGCTGTCATGTTCACCAGCTTAAAAAACAACTGGGAGTCTGGTTTCTCGTTTACAACTGTTTTCTCACAGTTTTATTGTCACTACTTCCTGGTAGAGAGGTTTATTTTTTGTAGATTACAAACTGAGACAAACAAAAGTCAATTACAATATGACTCAAGTTTATATAGTTTAGTTATTGTCCTTTTCCATACTTTGTGCTCCAWGACCGACTTGCCAAAAGTGATAAAGTACAACTGTTAATTATTTGACAGAACACCACTTTAAAAATGACTCGACTAGCCTATAAAATTTTTAAAGCCGATGATTTCAACCCCGCATTTAAAAAGTTGCATAGAAGATTCCATTTAGTATTTATGTAACTAACTTAGTGTGTCGTCCGAGGCTCCGGATAAGAGCTGGTAAAAGATGTGGAAGTTCCTCTCGCCTCTTGGCTGTTTCACCACACGGGACTTCTCCAGCAGATCTAAAAATAAAAAAGGGAAATCATGATACATGGATACTAGAAAAAAATGTTTTACAGGATATTTGTATTTAAACAATCCCCAGAGACAGGCAACATGTGGCTGTTCCCACCTAGACTTGGTAAATATGACTACTGTATTTATTCGTGTATAATACGATCTCATATATAATACGACCCCCCCTTTTTTGAGCTAAAAAAAAGCATAAAAAAAACTTAATCCTCAAACTACCTCCAATTTCATTCAGACTTCAAGATTTTTCAGCCTTTGCAGTCTTTATACATATMAGTAAAATGATCATTGGACTGCTCATTTTATTTTAACAACATATGTACTAAAAGGTATTTTGACAAATATATATCAGCTGTAGCAGCATCATATGAATTCTGGCATTTTACACATAATCCACCAGGAGGCGCCAACACAAAAGTCAGAGACTTCACATGAGATTTGGGCCATCTTGCGGGGCAAAAGTAGATTACTTCCTACTCGCAAGCGCCCCCCTGGTGGGGAAACTTTTTCAGGGACACAAACTTTTTCAGAACACCGGTAGACGGCAGCCATTACAGACGAACATGTGTTTGTTGTTGTTCGAGGAGCGGCCCGGTCACACACKAATGTCTTTAGTTCGTTATCATTACTAAGGTGAAGGACTGCTTTTTGTCCCCCTTTTTTCACATCATGTCGCCTGCCTGGATCTGTTATTATCTCGCTCTGAAATACAAAAGTGTCACAGGTAAGCTCGCTTCAACTGCTTTTTACGATGTGGTCTCATTTCCGGACTCAGGCATTTTGTGAATGACATGAAGCTAATATTTCAATTAAAATGCATAAGTAAAAATATTTATCTGAGTATAGTACTACCCCCCCCAACTTTATGATTTTATGGATTTAATTTTATGTATTATACTTTAGTATATACAGTATGTACACACGTAATGTGCCAGAAAGGGGGGTGTCACTACATCAAGACCCACCATTAGCCCTTTTACTTTATTTTTCTTAGGCTAATGACAAAGTTAAACGGTACCTGATTAAAATAGTATCTCATCTGCTCACTTTATTATGCCAAGTGTCTAAAGACTGCAGAGCTCAGAGTCTTTGTACAGCTAGCTGAACTGAATAGAAACCATTTTATTTTAGGAAACCTAAAGGTTTATTTTACACTCTATTCAGTGTTTTGGAGAAGCACCCACATGAAATACCATTGCAACCCTGATCGAGTTTCCAACCCTAAGGGAGAGGGAAAAAAACCTTTGCTTTTCCAATATTTAGACTAAACTGACTCACAAGTTGGTGGGTGAGACAGAAGCAGTAGTTTGCAATAAAAATCACAGATATTCAGCAAAATGTGTATCATCAAACCGGGCACAGAGATGTGAGGGTCCTCTGTGGATCAGGCTAAATGGGATTCTGTGACACCCACTGGCTGTGAATCACATAAGTGGCACTTAGGAGCGAGCCCATCAATAATACAACATCCATGACAGAGAGGCTGGCAGCAGTGATATGGAGCTGTGATCAAAGACGCCCAGAGATGAAAAAGCACGGAAAAGTCACTTCTTACGTTTCAGTCCATTTCTCTTTACCTTAAACATGCGTAGGAAGCTTTTGACACAATTATGGCAAACACAGAAGAACAAAGGCAGTTAAACTATATTATTCATATTCCAAGGGTGTTAAAGTGACTCATGTCAGCCGAGTGCATAATATTGGTCATGTGGCATTAACAAAAACAAGGAAAAGCTTTTAACTGTCTTGCAAACAGCATGCTTCCTCTAATGCTTTAATGTGCATTTACATTTCCAAACAACAGAGACATTTTTTAACTAAAACCAAAGGAGTTGGCATAACAAAAAAGAAACCTTTATTTGTGGGTATTACTAATCATCTGGGCCCACAGGAATTTGCACAGAGAAAAAGGCTGCAAATAAAACCATCTATTCAGGTCTGATAAGCTGCAGTTTCTCATCCATCTGTCTAACTGAACGGGTCACATGACGGTGGCTCTAYTTGACAGACCCTGGTGTCTGAGCRACTCAGGCGAGTAGACAGAGCTTTAGTTGTGTCTAGGCCATCAGTTTCTGCCTTTGTGAATAATTGTTTTGTCTATACTGGCTTACATGCCAAGGAGGTCATAGAAACAAGCAAGGTCCTATTCAAAACAAGCACTGAAAAGCTGATGGGGGGAAAGTTAGCAACAGGATTTATAATTTTGTTCAGTGCAATTTTAATCATGGAAAACGTACAAAGGAAATTGAAAGCAACATTTGAGTGTGACATCAACAGCATTGAGTGACATTAAAATATTTATACCAAGATTTGACAAATTTTCAAAGGTTTGTTTTGGCTAGCACATGAAGATGGCATTTTTTTGGACTGTAACCATCACCAAAATGTCATAAAATGTTTTCGGGGGAAGACTGATTTTTATTATTATTTTTTTTATTTTATCTTTATATTTTTTTATTTTCTTTTATTATTATTTTTATCTTTTTTTTTTTTGGCGCACAGAGGCACAGTATTTTTTTCTTGAGCTTTGTGTGCTAAACTTTCAGTCAAAACAAGTCATCACAGGTATTATCAACCTATTTCAGTACTAGGGCTGTARTTTGACACATGCACTGAAGCACTACACTGAGGTTAACATGCAGGTCTGTAAACCACACTAGCATATTTATTGAAAAACTGACCAAAATTACTCACAGTTGCTGATGACTCCACCCAGTGGATCTCCTTTGAAGTCAAACTCGATGTCCATGTACTTTCCCTGATGGTTAAGAGTGTGAAAYGGTTAAGATGTGAACTTTTATTTGCTCTGCCTTTTATCATCAGGCTTCCTTTGAAAATGCACGCTTAAAAAGAAACCCAGCTCAATAGTCTCAGCTGAGTCTTCAGTAAAAACTCAGTCAAGTTACAAGTACGTCAAGTTCTTTCAGCAAAAAATCCAAACTTAACTATTTTGGATCCCTTTACTCTTTAAAAAAACAGACACTAGAACAGTGAGTCTTGTTTGTTTGATCTTTTTTCCCCTCTCATTCTCTGATGTATTAATAGACAGGTCACTGGATAAGGCCACGCACGGCTGGTGAGCGCTTTCTAGCCAAACTCAATAAGCCCTCCGCACTCAACAAAATGAAGTGAAGGGCTCCATTCAGAGTTTTATGATAAAATGATTGAGCTCTAATGAGCTGGAGTCTGGGTGAGAAGAGTTGAGCTTTCTGGCAGATGTCAAGGTCACCTAAAAATAGTCTGATCGGAACTATATTCCACTAAAATCTCCCAACTGCATGTCTGAGTACTAAAGTCTGTAGGCAGTAAATATAGAGGACTGGAAATTGTGAATGAGATGAAAAATGGGACACAAAACGGTTCATATTTTGGGCTGCAAGCTGGTTCCTGGAATAACTAGTTTCCATGTCATCTCATACAGAAGAATAAACAAATCTTGTGGCAGGAAGGAACACAATTAGGCAATTTGTATGTTCAGTAAGCCAAATAAGTGATTACAAATTTGCTGCTGAAACAGTCCGTTAGCAAGGTTACTATGATATGAGTGAATGAGATGTTTTAAAAAATGTTGTAGGAAATAGAAAAGTCATTACCTTTTCTGATGTCAATGTTCTATACTTCTCTAGATTAGTTTGTTTTTACAAAGACATTTTTAGGATGCTATTTAGATGGTATGGGTATTCGACTAATCACACTTAAACTAGAAATATAAATGCATAAAACTTGCATAAACAAGTCTTTGCAGATGAAAAACTGAACTCGTGAATGACAAGCATGAGAAAATTAGTCAACCTGACAGCAAAGTTTGCAAACTGACCTTGTTAACTCMGTATATAGCATTCATGAAGGCTTTGGGTTGTGTGCAAGTTTAACAGAACAACAAAATCCAGCACAGTAACAAACAGAGTGTAGGCTCTTCTACTCTGCAGATCCAATAATTATAGAAAGATGGGACATGCAAATAGTGTAAGGACATATTTGATAAAATGCCTTCACTAGTCTAAAATCATTTTCTCAGGCAAACTGCAATTCTCCTCTGAATGCCATGCATTTCTAAACTGTAAAAATCAAAGTATATAAACACCGCAGGGCCTCTGTTTTAGCCATGAAGCTAAAGCCAAAATACTACTGTGAGTTTCAATACTCATCCTAAACAAATATTGTATGAAACAAACTGATTAAATGTTTTGGTTGCTGTAGATGATAATTGCAACAGTTTTCCAAATGATCTGAAAGCAATCATCTTGTCAAACTAAACATTACATTTCAAATACTTACAAATCTCGAAGAGTTGTCATTGCGTACTGTTTTGGCATTTCCAAATGCTTAAAAAAGGGAGAAAAAAACAAACAATTAAAAGTTTTGACAAAACAATTTAAGCAAGTTAAAAAAGTGTCATTTTAACAGTTAGTTTGTTTTAAGAATTAGACTAATAAGGTTTAACATTGTGCAGCACTACAGCCATCTGTCAATCACAGAATAACCTGAAAGTCAAATCCATTTGTACTGATGACGTCCCATAATTCTATATGGATTAAGCAAAGCAGCAGAGCGTTCAGGCTTAGGACGGGCTAAACCTAGATGCAACGCCACATTCAAGGCAAAGTGATTCAATATGTGCCCCTGCTTATGAACAAACAAAATGTTTTGAAGGAGCTCATTATGCATCAGTAGGTCATTCAAATTTRTATTTTCTGAAACATTTTTCAATTRCTTAAAASCACATTTCCACATTAAAAATGCTATTAACACATCAGTATATCRCAGAGCTATTAGCATAACTGCTTAATTGCTGATAACAGCTGGGTAATGTGTGGTAAAGCATTTGGACTGTGTGAATGTGTGGGCCTCTAGTCTGGAACAACAGGAGCCAGAGGGGGAGTGAAACAGAAAACAAAAGCAACAGAGATACTGTAGATAAAAAGCTAAAGAGAAATCAGAGCGCACGGTGGAAAACAAAAGGAGGGTCACAAAGAAAGAAACTGAAAGAGAAAAATGAAGCAGAAAATCACAGGAGGTGCAAGGCATGATGAATCCATTGTGCTCGCCTAAAATTAGCAGGTCCCCCACTCCTTTAGCCTCTTTTCAGGGCTGGGGCAGCTAAGCTCTTGCAGATGTGCAGGGTTTTATGCAGCGAGTCAACCTTACAGCTTCATCATTCATGGGCATTTCCTGTCCACTGCCCCCAATTAAAAAACAGCTGTTTCTGTGCCARCATTGAGCTGCAGGAATGACTGCGACAGTGGATGTAGTGTACTGGCTAGTTAAAGGAAATAAAGATGGATTCATGGGACTCAAAAATGAAAAGCCTGATGTTTTTTTGCTGATGCAAGTGATGTGTTTACCAGCCAAGTGTCATAATATTTGCAATTGGTGGGGGTTGTCTGTACATTAAAAAAAAAGTTATTTTTGGAGGTCAAAAAATGTCAAATACCACCTTGACAATTAAATTGTGCACTTTAAAGTGCATGTGACATGCATATTATTGAAATACAAGTCAAAGATGATGTTTAAATTTGTACAATACTCGTGATTTTATCCATTTTTTTTATTTAAAGGCCGTATAAAGTAAAAAAATAAGTGTGTTCTGAGGTTGTCACACCACAGAAATGTGCCAATAATCACCCAGCCAATTTTGGACAATTAAAAATACTGTTAACCTTATAAAATTATGTGTTAAAAGTAATGAAAAATTATCAGCTGTGGTCTGAAATGCTGGGGGCGTGTCCTCTGGAGGCGCTCAAACCACGCCCACGACCCTGAACATTCCTGTAATCGAGGAAACGATGTTTGTATTCTTTTCCATTAGAGAAACAGGGGGCGGGGTTATATTGAAGGCAGCTGCGTGACATCACGAGGCTGCACTTTAAGACACGCCCAAAAAATCCTGAATTGAATCATTACTCCACTATTCAAATATCTACAGTTGAGAGAATTTGTACTCATTTACAACAATCCATTTATGACATTTGTAATGTTTAAAGAAGAAAATGTTACATTTTACTTTACACGGTCTTTAACTGYTATATTTTGATTTKGRTTCAGGCAAAGTGAAACAGGAAATGACATCAAAGGGGTAATCTTTAAGACAGAACTCCAYGGTCYGTTTATTGAAACCATATTACCRTATTTGAACTCTWAMYYYTWYMTCTCTGATAGGGACTCAATAAGAATAAGAAACAACAAATTATTCTGTGTTTGAAAGCTTTGCTACAGCTGCTGACATTCTCCATTGACATCACTTCCTGTTACTKCACATGCAAATATCTCAACTGTATCACCCCTCCCATATGTTCTCAATGTTATCCAGCTTTCCAAAAATGGCATTCATRTTTAATATAAAAATTTGATGTYACAGGCAGTTTTGCAGGTCAAATAAATTGCACATACAAATTTGTTATCCCCCGCCCATGCTGCAGTAGAATTTCAGTAGCCCCGTCAGCCTGTTGACACAGATTCTGTCCAAATCTGAACTTCAGACAATCCAGCACCCAAACTGGGACGCAGCTCAAGTCGTCACTCACCCTCCAGCACAGGATTGGACTGCAGCAGCTGTTCCTTGACCTTATTCACCTCCTGGCCCTTCCCACACACTGCCGCCACATATGACATCACCAGCTTACTGGCCTCTGAAATACACAGAAATATAAAGTAGTATTAGATGTGATAGACATGGCAAAGAAATAAACGAGACCTGCCCATACATTGCAACATTCCCCATAAAAATTCCCATTACATCAGCCCCTTTTGACACCCATGAGAGCGAATGAGGCCCCATTTTAAAAATGCAATTTGTTAAGTTGGATATTGACCACAGTTTCATCATGTCGTCAAACTACAGATTCATTGGGAAGGAAAACCCCTGGAAAAACAATCTGAATCTTGAACATTGTTCACTCGCTGCTTTGAAAGTGCACATTTTAAGAGAGGGACTCTCCGCAAATTAACTACGTCCATGACAAACAGGCTCGTGAAGCAAAGCATCCTTTTTGGAACAAGTGACGAGCCTTGTGGTTTGACAGCTAGCATCGAGATCATCTCTTGCAACCAGTGAGACAACAGTGACCTAGAACTGATGTGTGTGACCTGCCAGGGGAAGACCGAAAAGCTCTACAGCAGTTGTCAGTACAGGCAGCTGATGACTTTTTTTTTAGCTGGATATCAAAAGTTAATACTTTGCAACAAGAAGCACAGTTTAATCCACATTTTCTTTAATCTGATGGCAGCAAAATGAACTTCAGTCATCTTTGGAGAAAAAAAAAAGAGTCATGTTATGTTTTTGACATAAATCATGCAACATAAATTAATATTCGTCACAGTTTTGACTTTATACAAGTCCCACTAAAAATGGAGCAGAAAAAAAATCCAAACATGAATGTCAATGACCCATATTGATAGGGTACAATTTAATGGCCTTATTCTACTAAAAGCTCCAGGGCAGCTGAGATTACTGAAATCCAAATTTATCTGACTTCACTGCAGCAGCGGCTCTTTAGAGTTTAGAAGAAAGGCTTGTGGATCAAAACAATAATAATAAAAATATTTTTTATGACAAGTCAACCTAAATTGTTTCCCTTTATGAATTGGTCTTGTGCGTTTACAAGCATTGCATCACTGCATTTCAAAGAACTTTTCATGATTTATGATTAAAGTTTAATGCTGTGTGAACAACAGCTTTTACTACAAACTTTGCTCCATGGCTCTTGCTATTTGCTACCAAACTGCTACAGGGATATTGTGAAATCTAAGTGCCAGTCAATGAAAATCATAAAAGTTAAAACTGTTAACCTCACTGAAGCGTTCCATACAAGTATACATTGGATGAAGGCTTRGATTAGTCAAACTTAGGTTTATAAATAATCTGGTAACTCTTCCATTCAGCAATGTTGTTTTCATTATTACACATTTTTACAAGTACGGGTCTCTGCAGAACATGTCCTGTGGGGGGAGATTGCCCAACTCATGATTGGCGGMGGTCTTGATGTGGGCGGAGATATATTCTTTTAGCTATCTTTTTTACAGGCTGGTCAGGGATGTTTTAACCTAGCCATATTGTTACATATCCTTTCACATTTACGACGTTCAAATTTTGTGCAGCTAGCATTTTCCTTTCTCAAGTTATGACTAAAATTGATCTTTAAAAAAACCATGTTGCTTCCTGCCCGACTCGATCAAGCTACTCCCCGCTGCCTCGAGTCTCCTCAAACCTCACCGTCAATCTGACCTATCACGTCTCGGGCCATCTCCGCCCACATCAAGACCGCCGCCAATCACGAGCAGGGACGTCTCTGCCCACAGGACAAAACCTACTGCAGAGACCCCATACTCCATTTTTAAGGTGTGTGAAAGTGTTCCAAAACATGGCAACCCATGAAAGTAAAATGCAACAAGAATTAAAAAAAAATGCTTCACCAAGAGCAACTCTTTCTGGTTCAATGCTTCATTTTGAGATTTATGTTTCCTCACAAAAACATACAGGCGTTGTCTGCTTTGGTGTTTGAACCAGGACACCATAACATCTGTACAGTGTCTCGCTGGTATTTTGATTTGTCTACCGCTACCTCCTTCACAGGTCAGTTTCTTTCATGTACAAACATGATCTCCACTGAAACAGGCCTCAGACTCTGTGGCTGATCCAATCTAAAACTTCTAAATGTGACGCAACACAAAACATTTCTGTTTTTCAAAAAACTGTTTTGACTAGGAACATTCTTTCCCTCCAGGGACTTACCAGATTAAAATGACTTCTGAAGATACTGTTTATGATTAAGTGGGTTTCCCCTGAATACCGGGTAAATGATTTTTTTCCATATCTTTGCTCAGAACAGATGTGTTACCGTTATCAGCACCATTAAAAAAGGTATCAATTTGTACCAAGCACTTTCCAGGTATGAAAATGTCTGTGTGTGAACAGCAAAGTGATGATGGATGATGGGAGTCTAAAGCTTTGCCCAGGCTGCACAAACATCAGGTTTTTGTTCCAGGACAGACTGTACYGTCATTTCCAAGTGACAGAATCGGATTTGGGTGGTGGTAACGGTGCAGATGTTGACAACTAGGTGGTTCCATTTGTTAAAAGAACAAAAAAGGTACTTCCTCATTTCAGTGCAGATGTTTCCCCACTTGGTGAGAGATTTGACTATATTGTAACACTGTTTGCCAAAATCATCCTATCCATCACTGTAGTAGAACCCCACTCAGTTTAGTCTAAAACCTATGAGAATGAGATTAAAGACCACATCCAAACACAGTTTTTAATCAAATCTATAAAATTTACAAAGTAAGCAATTTAAAAATTTGGATATCCAAAATAAAAGTAAAAACTGAATTTGAGTCTAAAATTATATAAAGACCTTTCTTGGCTGTCAGAACAGCTCACGTGGCAAAATGACTAAAGAAAAAAGGTTTCTCACCAGTTTTCCCAGCTCCACTCTCCCCTGTAATGAGGATACACTGGTCCTTGTCTTGGTCTCTCAGTGAGCGGTAGGCCTCATCTGCCAAAGCATAGCTGAAACACAAAACAGGAGAAAGCACAGAGCAAGTCTTTACATTGCATCTACACATTCAACAAATGGTTCTCATTTTTTTAATTAGGGATGGATAATGGATAACAGGGTCAAATGGGTTCAGRCAAACTGTACCAGGCCATATGACATCTCCTCTGATCAAAAAAAGGTGGTTTCATTAAGTTGCACCTATAGGGCATTAGTAAACTTCAGTGAATTATTGCTTTTTTTGTAAAATTGGAGTGGTTTATACTGGGATTTTGGCTTTTATAGGCGACTTGTGTTTGCAGCCTCTCAGAACATGGCTACTAAAGTAAATCTGGCATTTGCATGATGATTTGGGGATGGGCAGTGCAAGAAACAAGGTAGATTAAAAACAAGTTTCACAAGTTTAATACATCTGCACATTTAATGTCTAAAAAGTTTTTAACCCATAGTTTTRGTTCCTCGTGCTTCTTGAGCAGTGTTTGAATAATTTATATAGTAAATGACTGAACAAACCTTTATAAGTAAATGGTGTAAGTGCTTTAAAACAAAGCATACCATCATGAATTCTGGGACACTTTCACAATAGGAAAGTGGAACTCATTATTGCAGTAACAGCCCCACTGAATCATAGAACAATGTTTCATTTGTTCTCTTTATGCAGWCAATACCTTGTGAGGATTTGGGAGGCGGTTGTGGATTGTGTGTGGGCCACATCACAATGTTTTTAATCTTTTTTGTTGAGCACATATCTGGAAACAATTATAATGGGACTAAAAAGATGCAACTAAAGGGAAAGGCTACAATTGAACTGAATCATTGCATTAAAAAATACCAGGAAAAAATGGAAATATCAGATGCTGTGATTACTAAAATGCGTAAAAAAAATACACAAAATTTAAGACAAAACATCACTTAAATAGGTATAAAGTTAGTTTTTGGTGCAAAGAACTTTTCTGTCCCAAACCAAGATCCTTAAATCAACTTTGGACAACCATCATTCCCTTATTAAAAATGTTTCTTCTCTTATGGAATATTGTTCCTATAATAAAGTTGTGCCACTGGCTAAACCCCTCTAATCAATGTGTCACAACACTTAAAAGATTTATAGTTTTTGGCTAATCTCTCTATAAACACTCTTTAACTCCATCATGATTAAATTTGGTCAGTTCTGGCGATAAAAATAGCAAGATTGTAATGACCAAATGCCAATGAAGACTTCAGAAAGGCAGTTCCCACACTAAGGACCGACAGCAAAACAAGTTTGTTCATTTTCTAAAAGATTATTCAACTTAGATTAAAAAGGTGTTATACAATGGTGCCCGTTATGCATTATAGTAGTCATTGTAAGCAGAATACTGCACAAAGAAGTTTTTTTTTTCGTCTTTCAAATACAATACATGTTAAGAAATTTATTGAATTAGATGAGAAAAAAAGAAAACATTTGAAATAGTATACTATACAAAAAAGGCACAGTGAACACCATGAAATCCAAGTCTTTTGTTCTGGTGGCTTAAATGTACTGTTGTGAAAATGTAGAGCCACCCTCAAAAAGACGTCTTCCCTGCTGAATTGCAACAATGCAATCCAGCAACTTCAGTGTCACAATGAATGCAGGATATTTGAGCTCTGGTGATATGAAAACTATCAATTACCAAATAAATCTCCATCTTGGACAAATACCTTCATTTTCACAATGAGAACAAAAGTACAGCTTGAGGTAATTTTGAAGGACTGTATGGCCTTTTCCTTCATTTTTTTTTGTGCTTTTATGGAAACTGGGAGCACCTTTAATCTTTTAGATTACAGTGCTATCAAGTACTGGTATGTATTTGCATGCAGAAAATGTAGCCTACCAGACACGGAGTGCAAAAGTGAATATTTGTCCGTGATACTAACCAGTCAAGTTTGTTAYAAGTTGGGTTAAGTACCTGATGGCTATGATTACAATGATGTGTAAAAGACAGAATAGTAAAACTCATGTTTACTCCATGTCTAAATGTACTATTATGCAAAACAATGAGCTCTAAAACGAGTTGAATTTGATTTTAAAAAAGTGTGGTTAAAAGGTCAAAATTAAATTCAAAAATTCTGAATACAACAGTTGGGTTTCGGTAGCCGCATTACTGCACTCGGGGGACTAGAAGTGTCTGGTCTGTTGGGGCCAWCATTTACATCATTTACTGAACTAACACTGACCCTCAGTTTCCAAAGTGGTTGACTGCAGAAGCTATGGCAAACAAGGGTCCAGATGAATACATTCCAGACGAAATACACCAAGTTACACCGCGGGATAGCCAATCAGGGTTCCACACCATCACACACAGTTTTGGATGAGAACGTATTCACATCAACCACGAAGTACTCTCCATCAGTCCCAAGGTTCTGGCTGCACCCAATTCCAAAGGTAACGAGGTGCATCTACAAAGCAAATAACCTTCCAACAAGTTGGTGCAAATGTAATCTGTTAGTGCACATATACAGTCTTTAAAAGCCACATTAAAAAGACAACCATGAATGTAATATTTTTCAGGGAAGAATTTCAGCTACTACTCAAACTACTATTCAAATATAACTCCAAGAACCAAACAAGCAGAGAAAGAACAAAAAGTTTGAAAATGGCTGATTCTGTCAAACTTTAAACCATTGCCATATTACACAGAATACTAGTTACATGTGTGTTAGGAGAAAAGATAAAAATTAAAAAAAAAAATTCCCTTAAACTGCCCTCTCTTGTACAACAATCCACCAGCTTTGTTCAGATGAGTTTTACCACTGGACATAACAGGACATGACGTCACAGCCGAAAAMAGCAGAGCAGATGTCTGCATTGTGAAAACACTCATTGCCTGACCTGATCCTGACAATGAGCAAGCCATCATACAATTATTTTCTCCCCAGATGAGGCCCAGGGTCCAGCAGGAGCTTGGGAGGGCTCACCACCTTAGGGACAGGGGTGAAAAAGAAGTGGGAGGTCCTTTGCGGGGAACACACACACACCCCAAGCAGGACTTATGAATAGCCATCACTAATCACAACATGAATGGAGCTCAGGAGAGAAGAGCCACACCCAGAACTACAAGAAAACCTCCAATTTTAAAGCCTTGAAATCAGACAATAAAACTGGCTTTTCACATAAAGCCTCATCTGAATTCATTTCAGCTGTAGACTGRACTATAGTTTGATAGGACCCTTAAATTAGCCTGAACAAAAATTGGCTATAAATTAAAGTCAAACAAATGAAGCATCAAGGTCCCCATCAGAGACAGAGGAAGAAACAATCAGGTACCAAAATCCCAGAGGTCTCCCAGATCAGTGTGTACAGCAGGATGTGTGGGGATAGGCCTTGGACTACAAGAGCTGCTTGCCCCCCCTTCACATCTGCCTGCAGGCTGTAATTTTGACTTGCACGTGGCAGCGGGTGCACACAAAGCCACACTGGCATGAGGTAAGCAGCAGAAAATAGTCACGTCAGTTCTTTTACTCTTCAACCTCTGGTAAAGTGGGGCACAGGAGAAGATGATGGGCCTRCAGTTTGTGACCTGAATCTTAAAAAGGGTGGAGTAACTGCAGGGCAGATTCAGCACTCTTTAAAGCAATGATTTGTAGATGCTAATAAAGCTGTAATGTATGGGTTGGACCGCCGCCCGCCCAGCTCCCTGGAAAATGGCAGGCCTTTTGAAAACAATGAAAGTCTTTCTTAGAGGCATTTTATTCATTTCGACACATGGCACATTCACTTAATAAAAGTGCACAACTGTCATTTGTAAATGTACGTTATTGAAAATAGAATCTGGTGGTAAAAACAACTAGGTTTCTGTTATTTGTTTGTATGCATGGGATTATGGGGAGCAGAACTGTGGTCTCTGATCTCAGTGTGACCTGGTTCCTTTACAGCCCTCAGGAAATCCGCCTAGCTTTGAAGGAGAAGCCAAGGAAGCAACTTTTCCCTGATCCTGAAGACCAGGTGGAAAAAAAAGTGTGTGTGTGTTGGGGGGTATAATACATACACACAACTACAGTGGCACCAGGCTGCCTGAAGACCAACCTGAGACTGGAGGCGAGCAAGGGAGCGGATGCACATATAAATGGATGTTGGTTCAGACAGATGTTGACCAGCTGTGTACTTGTAAGGACAATGCTTTGCTTTCAACAGTGTGCCATGGGGAAGAGTAGAACACACACACACACACAGCATTATCATTATGGAAGTTTTCCATTCAAAAGAAAATTCCAAATATGTAGAAAGTAAGGTGCGATAATGACAACTTTAAAACCCTCACAGTTCTTTAATTTAACAAACACACTAGAGGTTGTCTGAGACTCCAGACTTCAGCTATATTGCCAAAAAAAAAAAAAAAAAAACACTTGTATATCTAACTTTCAGAGTCCAGAACTTTAATTTTACGTTGCCACACACTAATTTAGTGTTCCAATGTAGGGAAAAGCACCGGTTCAAGCTGTCTGTGTGATCCTTGGAAAGGCAGGAAATAAGCATGCTGAGTTAAGGTAGCAAAAACATCCTCAAAGCAACACTGCACAGGAGACACGTCTGAGCTTCTCAGCAGGTTTATGCCAATCAGTGCGCGYCACTACTTTGTTCCATGCATACAAATAATTATAGGTTTAAATTAGCTTGTGCTAGAAAGGGGTCATCCAATCAGTAAGACAAAGTTAAAAACCAAACTTGTTCAAAAACTACCAAACATTTGAAATTTGAAAACTGGGTACCAGGTGGGAGGGAAGAGCTTCATATTCATGCATTACACTCATTTTACTACACCAGTTTCTCAAGTCATTTCATGCCTCGAGAGACTTGGAAAAAAATAAAAACACCAACACCACCAACATATAAACATACAACAATAGAAACATTTGCACCAGACATAAGGAATTCTTGCTGCTTCATGTATGAATAAAAGTTGTATGTTGCCATAAGAAGTCAATTTTCTGACTACAAAATAAGAGTGAAAAGTTCCATTGATGTGCACTGGAACAAACAACTGGAACAATCTTA